GTGCGCAGTATAATCTTACAGTAATTACCCACATATAGTGCGCAGTATAACCTTACAGTAATTACCCACATATAGTGCACAGTATAATCTTACAGTAATTACCCACATATAGTGCGCAGTATAACCTTACAGTAATTACCCACATATAGTGCACAGTATAATCTTACAGTAATTACCCACATATAGTGCGCAGTATAACCTTACAGTAATTACCCACATATAGTGCGCAGTATAACCTTACAGTAATTACCCACATATAGTGCGCAGTATAACCTTACAGTAATTATCCACAAATAGTGCGCAGTATATTTTTGGCATCACATACTAGGAAAAGAGTAATATGCCCATGTATAGCGTACACAGCAATTCTAACAGCTGAACGGCCTTTGTGTAGGAAGTGGTCTATTGTTGTGTTGATTAGTAATTGCACGTGCTCGTGAATGAATACCATTGCCAACTAATTAACCGTATTACTTAACGAACAAAGGCTGAAATTATTATCGCCCGTAATTTGTGATATACGTATATTTTAAAAACAATGCCCTGTACATAACGCATGGGAGAATGACTACAATTGAATAATGTTACTGTGAATGCATTGTAGCATATGATAATAAAATAATCATAAGACCCAGTGCAAAAAGCTACCTAAAATCGAAAAAGTTTTGCCCGATTATATTTTGAGTGATCAGTGTTAGCAAATACCAGCATATAAATAGTGCAGTTCTTGTGATTGACAGAACGAACTCGTTATACGTGTATGACTTGAAGCCTAAAATATAAATGTCAGGAGTTTAGACGTTTGTTTATACCTCTTCGTTACGGTTTAGTTTTTTTTTGTTTTTTTTTTGTTGTTGTTGTTGTTTTTACTTCCGGTGATCCGACAGCGAAAAACGTTGATGACGACAGAATATAAATTTATGTGGAGGCAACACTGGAACTGAAAATTTCGCGTGAAAAATACCGGAAGAATGCTGTTCCCTCCTACTCTTCATATTTGAGCGGGAAAAAGTGCGTACATAACAAAACTGGATTTACTCTCTTCTTGATGAAGTTAATCACAGTATTAAAATAATTCAAATGTTAATAAAAAATTAATACAAGTTTTTATCTAAGAAGCTTTCATATACTGAATGAATAAGACGTAAATAAAATAGCTGTAACCAAAACAGGGTTAAGAGGGTTCTCTATAGTAATCATGTTTACTTAGTGGAAATTTAAAAAAAAGATCAACTAATATCGAACAAGAAAGGGAAAATCTCCTAATATTGATATTAAAAGTGATGTTACAAGTAGAATTACCTAGTTTACTCTAAAGAAAAGTTGAGAATATTAGGGTTGGGAAGGTATTATATTGAACTTTTGGAATCATTTAAAGTTAATTGTTCTTTAAAGAACTGATTTCGTCTACTATTAAGTTTATTTATTTTCATTCTACTTCTGTTGACCTTGTAAACTGATGTCTTGTACATTAATACATAACTTGTATAAGAAAACTTTCTATTTTTAACCGACCTGTTGAGTATTTATCAAACTCTTCTTTATTAAACTAATTTCGTAGCGTGACTGATTACTCTTCAATATAAAAACCAGAAAACATTCACCCTGTATAAGACTTCTGAGATTCATTACAAAAAAACTATATTCTGATTTAATGTATTTATCATAATCAAAACGCTGAAGAAGACTTAGTATTAACTGACTTAAAAACAAAGGTTAGGTTAACATGCTATGTACACAAGACTTAGTATTAACTGACTTAAAAACAAAGGTTAGGTTAACATGCTATGTACACAAGACTTAGTATTAACTGACTTAAAAACAAAGGTTAGGTTAACATGCTATGTACACAAGACTTAGTATTAACTGACTTAAAAACAAAGGTTAGGTTAACATGCTATGTACACAAGACTTAGTATTAACTGACTTAAAACAAAGGTTAGGTTAACATGCTATGTACACAAGACTTAGTATTAACTGACTTAAAAACAAAGGTTACGTTAACAATACAAAATGTTTTATATTCATAATAATTACTTGATAAAAACAAAAGAACAGATCAAAATCATATTACAAGTATTCTTTATTATTTTCAAAGTAAAGTTTACCTCAACTAACTAAACATATTGTACAACTCATTCAACTTACAAATAGCCAGTATAATTCCAATTTCTCTAGTTATTTTTATTAAAGAATTTTCACACAAAACAAGTAGCAAATTAGGATGAAATCTAAGCTGCATATCTTAATTTCTTCTAAAGTATGCTATGTACTTTTTGTCTATAAGCAAACGTAACAGCACAAAACTATCCCAAATGGAGCAAAGTTGTGTTTAGTGTCACATAAACCCTGCAATCAAATATAGTAAATGAATACAGGTTTAGTCGCTTATCTTTCAAAAAACTGTACTGTTAACTACATTAAATGTTTGTACCTTATTTTAAGTCTGGGTCAATTAATACTTGCTCTTTATAAAGTAGAATATATGCCTGTTTAATTAGATACGACTCTTAATACAATGATGAAAGCCTGATCTCAAAAATAGAAATTCCTTAAAAAAACAGCTGTGTCTGTTAAATTAAACAAAACTCAGAAAAACAAAATTAGCAATCATCTTGAATGCTTTTATAAACATTTTCCATCAAAATTTTCTTCATCAGCTTCGGAAGAAAGTCAAAGTTTACATATTTGAACATGTTCATATGTTCTTGGAAATGTCAAACCTACTTTTAACTGCATTGTAACTCAATCATGCATTTCCTTTTCTATACTCTTTTCATTACAAGTTTGGATTTACGCTAATAAACCATCTTCAAAAAGTGGAGAAATGAAAAAAAAAAAAGTCTTAGCACTAAAAAATCAGACTGTACATACAATTTCAAGAGGTTGAATACAGTGAAACACAAGTTATTTTATGATAACCACAAAAATAAATCACAAAGAAAAATCTTACCCTCAAATCTAATACACAAAAATGAAAAATATCACCCACAAGTGTTATTAAAATCTGCAAACAGGTTCTTATTATAAAAGTTTGATTTTCTTTTCATTTTTGACAACCTTTTAATATGATTCTCTTTGCCACATATATCATTATTCACACACAAATATAAGTATGATATTGAGAAGGCATTCTTTTGTGAAAAGCAGCTCAACATTACAAACTGTTTGGAAGTTGTTATATTTTAATATAAGAACAAAATTTATCGTTATCTAAACATAAAATGATACCACATCTATATGTAGAATATTCTATATAATTGATCAGTCCTTGCAATTAATAACTGCTGAACAAATTTAGTCTTTTTGTTCTAGCCTTTGTACTTGAACTTGTGTTTAGCTTCCCAGGAAAACGTTTTTGACAAAACTGTTATTTAGAACTTTTATTAATGCAAACACACTATTTCCCACAACAAGAACAGTTGTAATATGTTTGGTTACATGTACATTTTCATACTAAAATCTAATAAGAAGTCTCAACATGGTGAGAGACGTGAGGTTTAAATGTTCTTAAAAACCAAAAAAGATATCTTAATTTAAATTATATGGTACACCAACATAAGAAAAATTGATAAATCCTGCAATCAGTGACAAAAAAAAAGGAATATTTTGACTTATATAAAACAACATCCAATTTGTTCAACACGTGTAGTTTTTAAGAAATGAGAAGTATCATTAAAAATGAGCAAATTCTTGATTAAGTTCACATGAATTTGCTAGTACTTGTAATAATACAAAGTTCTATAATGTATTTAATTTTTTTCAGCTTCTGTTCAGCAAAAACTAATTAATACTTTCAGATGTCAGTCGTTTGTTTGTTGTTAAGTGCAAAGCTACACAATGGGCTATCTGTGCTGTATCCACCACGCATATCGAAACCCAGTTTTCAGGATTATAAGCCTTCAGACTTATGACTGAACAACTGGCGAACAGCAGGCCTGTCCAAGGATCTGGGCGAATGAAACCTGGTTATGCCGTAAAGCCCGCAGAGCATCTTTAGGCTACATCTTCATTTAATGATAAAAACCATAGTTTTTGGCTTTTCTTTGCATATAGATGCTTGATACATTAAGAACAACTGAAATAATAATTTGAGTAATAATTAATATGTATTTGTTAGTTTAGAGATTTAATATATATTTGTTGTTACTTTATTAATGTTTTTACGCTTATACTGTGAGGTAAAAACGGCTGCTGCTGTGATGCTGTCTGGTTTATGAGCTCGTTGCTGTCCTAATTTAGGATCTTCTTTTTAAT